GTTGTTGATGGTAGAGGACGTGTGTTGGATGTGAGAGTGTTGGTGATGGTTGAGGACGTGTGTTGGATGTGAGAGGGTTGGTGATGGTTGAAGACGTGTGTTGGATGTGAGAGTGTTGGTGATGGTTGAGGACGAGTGTTGGATGTGAGAGGGTTGGTGATGGTAGAGGACGAGTGTTGGATGTGAGAGGGTTGGTGATGGTAGAGGACGAGTGTTGGATGTGAGAGGGTTGGTGATGGTTGAAGACGTGTGTTGGATGTGAGAGTGTTGGTGATGGTTGAGGACGAGTGTTGGATGTGAGAGGGTTGGTGATGGTAGAGGACGAGTGTTGGATGTGAGAGTGTTGGTGATGGTAGATGACGAGTGTTGGATGTGAGAGGGTTGGTGATGGTTGAAGACGTGTGTTGGATGTGGGATGGTTGATGGTTGAGGCTGAGTGTTGGATGTGGGAGTGTTGGTGATGGTAGAGGATGTGTGTTGGATGTGAGAGGGTTGGCGATGGTTGAGGACGAGTGTTGGATGTGAGAGGGTTGGTGATGGTTGAGGACGTGTGTTGGATGTGAGAGGGTTGGTGATAGTAGATGACGTGTGTTGGATGTGAGAGTGTTGGTGATGGTTGAGGACGTGTGTTGGATGTGAGAGTGTTGTTGATGGTAGAGGACGTGTGGTGGATGTGAGAGTGTTGTTGATGGTTGAGGAGGTGTGGTGGATGTGAGAGGGTTGGTGATGGTAGATGACCAGTGTTGGATGTGAAAGGGTTGGTGATGGTTGAGGACGTGTGTTGGATGTGAGAGTGTTGGTGATGGTAGATGATGAGTGTTGGATGTGAGAGGGTTGGTGATGGTTGAAGACGTGTGTTGGATGTGGGATGGTTGATGGTTGAGGCTGAGTGTTGGATGTGGGAGTGTTGGTGATGGTAGAGGATGTGTGTTGGATGTGAGAGGGTTGGCGATGGTTGAGGACGAGTGTTGGATGTGAGAGTGTTGGTGATGGTTGAAGACGTGTGTTGGATGTGGGATGGTTGATGGTTGAGGCTGAGTGTTGGATGTGGGAGTGTTGGTGATGGTAGAGGATGTGTGTTGGATGTGAGAGGGTTGGCGATGGTTGAGGACGAGTGTTGGATGTGAGAGGGTTGGTGATGGTTGAGGACGTGTGTTGGATGTGAGAGGGTTGGTGATAGTAGATGACGTGTGTTGGATGTGAGAGTGTTGGTGATGGTTGAGGACGTGTGTTGGATGTGAGAGTGTTGTTGATGGTAGAGGACGTGTGGTGGATGTGAGAGTGTTGTTGATGGTAGAGGACGTGTGGTGGATGTGAGAGGGTTGGTGATGGTAGATGACCAGTGTTGGATGTGAAAGGGTTGGTGATGGTTGAGGACGTGTGTTGGATGTGAGAGGGTTGGTGATGGTTGAAGATGTGTGTTGGAGATTGAGCTTCAGAAGAATGAAGATTGTCTTCATTTGACAAACCTGCCCAACACAGGAATGGAACTGGCAGCTGGATCAGCGGTTGGGACATTCCCACCTATTATCGAAAACACACATGCCATTGCTACTCTCCCAGTAAAAGTTACCAAAGAGGCTTCGGACAACAGAGAGCAATGATGGATGAAATAGCAAGGGACCTTAATAATTTGTCTCCTGTGGGAGAGAAAGTAAGCCTAGGCTGTACAAGATGGTGCAGGAAAATGGTGGCTTTGTTTCCGTGGATGGGGAAATGGTGATGGCAGGATATGGCCCTCTTTTCGCTAACCTGGTACCATCATTATCTGAGAGTGAAACATAAACACATGCTTATGATATAGATGATAGTGTAGAATCATACACTATCTTATAATTAATGTCGCTTTTATTTATAAGTACTGGAACATTCAATACCAACATGTGATGCAGCACTTGAGGGCTGAAATGTCTCCCTGAACTGGAAACAATTTGCTCACTTATTTGGAAAATATGATTGTGTATTCAGTAAGAGTGTGAGGTATTACCAGTATATCTGTAAATTGAGGTTCATTCTTTCCATGATATGTATCACAATATCACTTTTTCATGTTTGATATATCGGGTGATTTCAAATTCGGATTTTTATCATCTTTAAAGTTATATACTTGCCAAGTGCCTTCCCTAACCTGGAGCATCAGTGAGTGAGTGAGTATGGTTTTACGCCCCTTTTAGCAATATTCCAGCAATATCACGGCAGGGGACACCAGAAATGGGCTTCACACATTGTACCCATGTGGGGAATCGAACCGGGGCCTTCGGTGTGACGAGCGAACGCTTAGACCACTAGACTACCCCCCCCCCCATCTTGTGCTGTTCCTTTTATGAGCTTCAGTTCATACCTTAATGTATCAGATTACTTCAGAACAGATTTTTTAGAATTATACAATATATCGTGACATGTATCGCAATAAGTCCTTGTGCATTGCAAAATATTGTGATACACTTTAAACCTCCAATACCCATCCCTAGTATTCAGAGAACTTGGATGAGAACCTGAAACCCATGAAAACTGTTCATAAACGGACTCAAACGTAGCCCAAAGATATATGCCTTTAAATTGCAAGAACTGAACAAGAACATGTGTGCCACATTGTCAAACCTCTCACTGATCAATCCGGAGAGCGGAAGGTCGGGTGTTCAATCCCCGGCCGCGTCATACCAAAAGACATCAAAAGATGGTACTTGTTGTTACCCTGCCGGGCGCTCGTCATAAAGGGGCTAAAACAAGGACTGGTCTGCTCAGAGTCAGTAAGCTGTGTCTTGGTTGGGTATTCATGTTAAATGACGGCATGGTATCTCAGCTGGCTACAATCGGCATTAGTCTGGACTAATACAATTCTGATATAGGTGCAACGATCTTGAATGTGACGCTAAGCGCCATTTCACCTCACCTTATATGACTATAACAAGCTTGTCTTCCACATGTTCTGACATTTTGACAATTTCTCTGTCTTAAACCCACAGGCCTTGGCCTTGAACATTCTACTAAAAGACACAAAACTAAACTGAACTCTGGCAAGTGGTGGACAGCGAATGGTGGTGCCTTATAGCTCTGGAAGGTGGTGGACAGCGAATGGTGGCACCTTATAGCTCTTGCAAGTGGTGGACAGCGAATGGTGGTGCCTTATAGCTCTGGCAAGTGGTGGACAGCGAATGGTGGCACCTTATAGCTCTTGCAAGTGGTGGACAGCGAATGGTGGTGCCTTATAGCTCTGGCAAGTGGCGGACAGCGAATGGTGGCACCTTATTGCTCTGGCAAGTGGTGGACAGCGAATGGTGGTGCCTTATAGCTCTTGCAAGTGGTGGACAGCGAATGGTGGTGCCTTATTGCTCTGGCAAGTGGTGGACAGCGAATGGTGGCACCTTATAGCTCTGGCAAGTGCTGGACAGCAAATGGTGGCACCTTATAGCTCTGGCAAGTGGTGGACAGCGAATGGTGGTGCCTTATAGCTCTGGCAAGTGGTGGACAGCGAATGGTGGTGCCTTATAGCTCTGGCAAGTGGTGGACAGCGAATGGTGGCACCTTATAGCTCTTGCAAGTGGTGGACAGCGAATGGTGGTACCTTATAGCTCTGGCAAGTGGTGGACAGCGAATGGTGGTGCCTTATAGCTCTGGCAAGTGGTGGACAGCGAATGGTGGTGCCTTATAGCTCTGGCAAGTGGTGGACAGCGAATGGTGGTGCCTTATAGCTCTGGCAAGTGGTGGACAGCGAATGGTGGCACCTTATAGCTCTGGCAAGTGGTGGACAGGGAATGGTGGTGCCTTATAGCTCTGGCAAGTGGTGGACAGCGAATGGTGGTGCCTTATAGCTCTGGCAAGTGGTGGACAGCGAATGGTGGTGCCTTAAAGCTCTTGCAAGTGGTGGACAGCGAATGGTGGCACCTTATAGCTCTGGCAAGTGGTGGACAGCGAATGGTGGTGCCTTATAGCTCTGGCAAGTGGTGGACAGCGAATGGTGGTGCCTTATAGCTCTGGCAAGTGGTGGACAGCGAATGGTGGTGCCTTATTGTTCTGGCAAGTGGTGGACAGCGAATGGTGGCACCTATAGCTCTGGCAAGTGGTGGACAGGGAATGGTGGTGCCTTATTGTTCTGGCAAGTGGTGGACAGGGAATGGTGGCACCTTATAGCTCTGGCAAGTGGTGGACAGCGAATGGTGGTGCCTTATTGCTCTGGCAAGTGGTGGACAGCAAATGGTGGCACCTTATAGCTCTGGCAAGTGGTGGACAGCGAATGGTGGTGCCTTATAGCTCTGGCAAGTGGTGGACAGCGAATGGTGGCACCTTATAGCTCTGGCAAGTGGTGGACAGAGAATGGTGGTGCCTTACAGGTCTGGCAAGTGGTGGACAGCGAATGGTGGTGCCTTATAGCTCTGGCAAGTGGTGGACAGCGAATGGTGGTGCCTTATAGCTCTGGCAAGTGGTGGACAGCGAATGGTGGCACCTTATAGCTCTGGCAAGTGGTGGACAGCGAATGGTGGTGCCTTATAGCTCTGGCAAGTGCAGGACAGCGAATGCTGGTGCCTTATAGCTCTGGGCAAGGGGTTCTGATCATCCCAACTGACTGATCATTGAAGTTAATCAGTTGGCGTCTTTTTTCTGTTTTTCAATGTTAAAACCTCACAAACTGTATCAAACCTAACAAAAACAAACAAGAATACATACTTCACTATTTTATTATTAAAAATAGGTGTTGGCCTCATGCTTTCTGAAACAATTCTTAAAGTAAGTAATGAATACATTTTTTGGCACACAAAACTATCGCTGGTTTGAAAATACCAACACAATATACTGTATAACTTATTATTTTTAATGATAACTTGAGAGAGTTAGTTGAAAACTTGACAGAAGGGACAAATTCGATTATGAAAAATTGCATTCAATCGTATGGACCTTTTCGATTAATCTTCAATTATTTCAATGAAAACACCACTAGGGCCTCAGATGACTTGGCCCCCTTGTGCACTGATGCAATGCTGAATCGCAGTGCTGAGAAATACCTTAGATGACACATCCCGCTGAGGGCATGGTTGCGACTCGATGTTCACAGAGCTCATGATCTTGGCAACTTATGCACAGACTCAGTGTCATAAACTCTCTTCTTGTCCTTGTGCTCACACAGCTTCCATCCTGAAACATAGTGGAATTAATTTTATCAAATGATCGATAAGGAACATTTGACAATTTCAAATGACAGTTGTCGTGAGTCTGATAACAAAATAACTGGTTTTACAAATGTTTGATGCAGAAGTTAATAATCATAAGGAAGTACTTTTGTCTCAGTTTGGGTTGTGATGTTAGGGGTAGACATGATTGCTCGTATCAGCTTTTTTGGAACAAGTGCAGGGATAGAAATATATGCCGCGGGGCACTCATAGGGATGTTCAGCTCTGCATTGCAAATTTTAGGAAGAGCTCTAAATCGCAAATTTTAGGAAGAGGTAGAGGAAGAGCTCTAAATCACAAATTTTAGGAAGGAGCTCGATTACAAATTTTTGGAAGAGCTCTGCATCACAAATTTTAGGAAGTGCTCAAAATCGCAAATTTTAGGGAGGAGTTCTCGATTACAAATTTTAGGAAGAGCTCTCGATTACAAATTTTAGGTAGAGCTCTGCATCAGAAATTTTAGGTAGAGATCTGCATCACAAATTTTAGGTAGAAGTAGAGGAAGAGCTCTTAATCGCAAATTTTAGGGAGGAGCTCCTGATTACAAATTTTAGAAAAAAGGTCTCGATTACAAATTCTAGGAAGAGCTCTGCATCACAAGTTTAGGTAGTGCTCTGGATCTGAAATTTTAGGTAGAGCTCTGCATCATAAATTTCAGCAAGAGCTCTAATTGCAAATTTTAGGAAGAGCTCTAGATTACAAATGTTAGGAAGAGCTCAAAATCGCAAATTTTAGGAAGAGCTCTACATTACAAATTTTAGGAAGAGCTCTCGATTACAAATTTTTGGCTGAGCTCTACATCACAAATTTACGGTAGAGCTCTGCATCACAAATTTTAGGCACAGCTCTGTATCACAAATTTTAGGAAGAGCTCTTGATTACAAATTTTAGGAAGAGCTCTTGATTACAAATTTTAGGAAGAGCTCTCGATTACAAGTTTTAGGCAGAGCTCTGCATTACAAATTTTAGGAAGAGCTCAAAATTATAAAATTTTAGGGACAAGCTCTCGATTACAAATTTTAGGAAGAGCTCTCGATTACAAATTTTAGGTAGAGCTCTGCATCACAAATTTTAGGAAGAGTTCTGTATCACAAATTTTAGATACAAACCTACAGGTACCATTGCACTAAACTAAAAACAGTAAAGGTGTATTGATACGGTGGGGTTGCAATACAATACCTATCCCCATACTAAGGGTGTGATGCGATTCGTATCCAGATACAATACTTTTATTTCTTTTATTTCATAAGTTAAAATTTTTTTTTTTTGCAGGTGAATCACAACCCTGCATCAAGACTCGTGACATGACAAACACTTCCAAACTCTTTAATGTTTTTATCACAAATGTGGAGAGGACATCACCAACGCCAATCACTGATTTACTATTCAATAACTTACTGATAAACTACTATCTCAAACAGTATGTCTATCTCCAGAGTTGTCATTGGTTGGAAGGTTAGGTATTGACACACTGACATATGTGTATAGATAATGAGTGAGTGAGTGAGTTGGGTTTAACACCGCTTTTAACATTATTCCACTTATATCGTGGCGTGTCAGCTTAACGTGTGAGAAAAGCCTGAAATGATGCAGGTCTCAGACGTTTACCACTTCAGTGAAGCCCACGAGCACGGGTATGGTGCTGACAAACTTAGAAACAAAATCAGTGCGAATTGGGATTCGAACCCACAATCATAGGTTTCTGGCGTGCCGAAGGGATGCAACTCTGCACAACAAATCGGGGCGCTTTAGACGACTGGGCCATCCGTGCCCCAGTGTATAGATAAACATCCATATGTAGACTTTTAATCAATCTAAAGATAATTATGAACTAGACTGACTAATTAAATGTTGTAAGTTAACTTTTCTGCCTTCTTATTTTCCATCGTAACCATGGTAATCTTGATACAAGTGAACATATTAATTTGGTATCAATATTCATAGTTTTGTATTGATACTGTATCAACATTTAGAATTACCGTATTCGATGTAAAAAGCGTCCCACTCTAATAAGCGCCCACGGGGATATTTGCTGATATATTGGCTAGTGAACAACCCCAATTAGCACCCCTTCGGATTGATCAATGTACACAAGACTTATTTATTCGCGTGTAGTACGGGGCGGTCAGGTAGCCTAGTGGTTAAAGCGTTCACTCGGTTCGATCCCCGACATGGGTACAATGAGTGAAGCCCATTTCTGGTGTCCCCCGCCGTGATATTGCTGGACTATTGCTAAAAGCGGCGTAAAACCATACTCACTCACTCACTCGCGTATAATACACACTCGTGTGTTATATGCACCCTTAATTATGGGCTATTAAATTCTAGAAAAATATATCTGTCATACATAAACATTTCCAGGGCGCTCTCAAAATTAGAAATGGGGGCTCTTATTAGAATATAATTTTGGTGAAAAAAAACCAGAGTTGAAAGAAAAATATCGTGGTTTATGCTGACAGCCTGAAATGTTTACGTACGACAGATCTATTTTTCCAGAATTCAATTGCCAATAATAAAGGGTGCATATAAAACATGAGTGTGTATTATACGCGAATAGGGGAAGGAAGCGGTGCGTATTATATGCGAATAGGGGTTGGAAGGGGTGCTAATGGAGATTGTTCGCCAGCCAATATATTAGCAAATCTCTACATGGGCGCTTATTAGAGTGGGGCACTTATTAGAGCGGGGCACTTATTAGAGCGGGGCACTTATTAGAGTGGGGCACTTATTAGAGCAGGGCGCTTATTAGAGCGGGGCACTTATTAGAGCGGGGCGCTTATTAGAGCGGGGCACTTATTAGAGCGGGGCGCTTATTAGAGCGGGGCGCTTATTAGAGCGGGGCACTTATTAGAGCGGGGCGCTTATTAGAGCGGGGCGCTTATTAGAGCGGGGCACTTATAAGAGCGGGGCGCTTATTAGAGCAGGGCGCTTATTAGAGCGGGGCATTTATTAGAGCGGGGCACTTATTAGAGCGGGGCACTTATTAAGTCGAATAAGGTATCTAATATTGCCTAGGCAAGTCTGGAAAATGAAGAAAGTCTTGGATCCTTTTTACTGAATTCTATTCGATAATTTAACAACTGCTTATTTTTTCTTAAATATATTTTCATTTTAGAGAGTATTTATGTTAGTCAACTGCTCTTATACAAGTCTGGAAAATAAAACCAATGACAAGCTGATGACAGAACACAAGGACGGAAAATGAAGCAAAACACCCACATTCAACCTGCGAAGGGACCCGTGAAGATTCCAGGGTAGAATAGGTCTTCAGCAACCCATGCTTGCCGTAAAAGGTGACTATGCTTGTCGTAAAAGGCGACTAACGGGATCGGGTGGTCAGGCTCGCTGACTTGGTTGATGCATGTCATCGATCCCAATTGCGTGGATCGATGCTCATTATATCAATCACTGGATTGTCTGGTCCAGACTCGATTATTTACAGACTGCCGTCATATAGCTGGAATATTGCTGAGTGCGGCGTTAAACAACAAACCAACCAACCAACCAACCTGCGATGCTAGATAACTCCATCGGGCAAGTTGTGAATGTGAATAAATACGTGATCCATGTCATTTGACACAGAGTAACAATGATTGTGAAATATGGTATTTCATTGCCAACAATTTTACATATGTAGGATATGAATTACTATGTTCACAAACGGATTAAAACGTAAAAAAACCCAATTTTCATAAATAGAAATAACAAAAGTGTCTTCGGTTTCGAGGCCTTGACGTTTTGCCAAGATCCGAGATTAGAACCATTTAAAATTACCGCCACTTGCAATATTCCGCCAATGAAAAGTGTGAGTGGATGCATTCATTAAAATATTGCAAGTAATTTGTCAGCATATCGCCGTTTCTAATACAACAAGCAGTATGAACGAACCTTTCAGAAACCGAGCTACCGAGATTGTCGATAGGGCACTTGCTGATAAGCTGTTGACATCAAACTTTCACCATAGTAAAATACTGCAAGGGAGGTAACTCTTCTATACCGGTGATTTTGTAATTTGTTCCCCATAGAAAAAAAGTTATATAATTATGACTCCTTTAACTTTTAGTGAGAGAACGGAACAAAGACGTATAGTCTTTTATTACTTACGAATTGAAAACAAACACTAAATAGCAGGCAGCGCTAACTGCAGACACCGAAGCACAGACATATGCTTTGAATTTTCAAAACGGTCAGCATACGGCCGTTTATAATAATAATAATAATAATAATAATAATAATAATATAGTATTTGAACCGGATAGATTTATATTGAACTCAGATACACCACATTTATTTGTTTATTGATTTTAGTAAACTAATATCAGTAGTGACTTGATTCTACATGTATTTAGGATAATGCTCAACGCGTTCTTGATATTGACTGGGCGCCTACACGAATTAAGCTTGCGGCGCATGGCAACAGTGGAGACAGTTTAATCTTGGTAATATTAGTCTTTGATGTCGCGTGATTATTCCCGTCTGTGTTACATGTTACTGTTGACGTCAACACTAGTCCAGGTTGCATATATTGAGGATGTCTTAGGTTGATGCCTGTACTTTGACGGCCACACAACTATGTGCACTGGGAATAGGGGGAGACAAGACAGTGGGTGCTGGAGGTACGTTGATCATGTTGATGCACAGTGTAACACATTCACCCAAACTAGTGGTTTGTTTGTTTGTTGTTTAACGCTGCACTCAGCACTAGTATTCCAGCTATATCACGTCGGTCTGTAAATAATCGAATCTGGACCAAACAATCCAGTGATTGACATCATGAGCATCGATCTACGCCTTTGGAACACGATGCCATGAATCAACCATCACTGAGTCTGATCACCCGATCCCGTTAGTCCTCTCTTGCGACAAACATGGGTTACTGAAGAAGACCAGGTCTAACCCGGATGTTCTCGGGGTTCCAAACGGAGGGCAGATGCCACAGACTCAATGACAACGTTCACAACCACCCAGACGTCCCAATCGTTCTGCACGATGCGTTCAAAGCGAAATTAATCAGCAGATTCCTTAAAAGAAAACCCAAAAAAACGTTTCCACCTCTATTCGTCAGGATAAAAACAATGTGTGTTGGAGTAGACCTCCAGAACACACACACCCTGACCAAAATATAAATGTGGAAGAAATAAAAAATACAGGCTGTTCCAGGTGATAGAAAATATATAAGTACATTGTATATATTATGGTTAAAATATTAATATTATTTGGATGATTATCATAAAACATTTCCACCGGTTTTTTCTATGAGAGGTGTATGAAGCAGGAGACACGGACTTGTAACGGTTGTAAAAAACAGGGTCACATTTGAGGAGGGAAATCCTTTTTGCAAGCTCTTGACAAGAAACTCGATACAGTCTAGCTCACACCCTTCGATAAATGACACTCCAGTTATTTTATTAATTCAAAATTGATTACAAATTCTGGTCGACAGTAAGTACTGATAATCGAATCTGGACCAGACAATCCAGACAATAATATATTTGTTCCAACTTGATTAAAAATTCTGGTCGACAGTAAATACTGATTCATATCACTGCCCCCCCCCCCCCCCCCCCCCCCCCACACACACACACACAAATTATTTATTATTATTTAGTACTAAATAACAATATACATGTATCTGGAAAATAAACTGCGTCATTGAGGAAAACACACACTCGTTCATCGGCATTTTCGCAGTCTATAGTGTTGGAAGTTATGAGAATTGAGCCTATTCGCATAGCTTACCTTGCAAATATTCTACAACATTGCCATGGTTACCCTATAGAATATATATGAGTTGATATGTTTGTCGTATAGGCGTGGTACTCGGTGCGTATATAACGTGCTGAGGATACTGATAGGGACACATCAACGTTGTTCATCCTCGCAACGAGCGGCACTGTCCACACGCAAGGTAGGTTGGCCGTAGTTGGACACGGTACGTTTTGTTTCTACCGATATTAAAACCGGTTATTTTCATTTTGTTCTTTTCCTCACAGGCAGTCTGGTTTTGTAATCTTAAGAATTTATTTCTTTTGATTCTGATTTGCAAATTGGGCATGTTTAGATTTTCATTATTAATTTCTGCAATTTTGTCATCTATATTTTGTGTTCCCATTATGTTCGGAAGTAGCCGTAGATATATTTGGATGTATTTAGATTTGGTAAAATCTAGCGCCGTAATATTTTCGATGACCATGCAATTCGGGCTAGAGTAACTCACAGAATTGCTGATTCAGCGAAAAATATGCTTGGCAAGCATCTTTTCAGGAATATTGTTGAATACTAATTATTTTCCGTTGATTAAAACAATAACATTAGCAATAAGGAATGAATAAATTTGTCATATCGGTCTAAAAATATCAAACAAATAATGTGTGACTGTTATCATGATGAGACGGAAGGCTAGAAAATTGGAGATAATAGTGTTTGTTGCTGGTAAAGAATAGTTTCCCCCCTATACACTTCGTTCAGTACATGTTCTGTTTAAATGCTGAATTATGTCAAATAGTTATTAATATTTCATTACCAAATGTGAATGAATACGTTGCCTAAAGTTTAAAACTCACTATAATGAAAGCGACGAAAACCTGTCCCTAAACATATGAAATTTCTGCTGAAAGCAGAGTCCACTGTACGATTCCAACGATATCAGGTGTTTAGGAATCACCATCAAATAGTGATGATATCAGGGATGATGGAGAAAATTAATTTACAAATATAAACACCATTCTACCATGAATTTGGAAATTACTCGTCTCTGATTGGTCAATCAGAGGCTATTAAATCACAATAAACCGGTTACTACAGTATTCAAAGGAAGTGTGGCAAACACGATAGAAAGAAAGAAAGAGAATATATTGACAACAGGGAGCTTGGAATTTGTCCCACCCCCCACCACCCTAATATATAGTTTGGCACATCCGATCAAAGACAAAAATGTATGTCTTGAAACGCTGTCTCAAACAGAGATCCCATATTCAGTCGAAACGCATTTTTGTCCACACGACCCTTATTCAGAGACTAAAAATATTTGTCTATGAAAATGTCCATGGCATTAGTATGCAATAGGATTCTACTGAATCAGCAGTATATATATATACATATCAACTGCGCGTGCTCAGACTACGTCTACATGACACACACTGGGCGTGATATATCCGTGACCGGTTCACATTGCTGTGCAGACTTGCTTCCTTTAGACATACAAGGGACCTAGGTTTGCGGGTTCGATTCCAAAGTTCACCAATATTACGTTTTTAAAGTTTGCCATCACCACGCTCGTGAGTTTCACCAAATTCACCACATCTGACAAGCCGCGCTGTAAGTAAAAAATACTTGGGTTAAACCAACCACCCTAACACACTTTCCGTGACCCCTGAAATGGAAAATTCCCAGAAACACTTAAACATGCCCCCACTAAGCCAGTGAAATTATGAAAGTATGAAAATATCGACAAACAGTTCATACCTCTACATTCTCTCGGCATTTACACACATTTTCCATGCTGCATAGAACACTGACGATATGGAGTTTACCATCTCATTAAAGTCAGATTTTAATTATCGCAGCGAGAACCGAGATCTGACCTCAAATAGAATGAAGATTTTATGCCATAATGATTTACAGCCTCAGTAGCCATTTTAGGGACAGTCGCTTCTTTTTTGTTTTCCACGTCTTGATGTGGCAGGTGCGCTGTGTGTAGCCTCAGCTGTCTTCACTGCCATGTCTGATGTTTTCATATTATTATCGATACCGCATTCGACGTAATAAGCGCCCAGGGCGCTCTAAAAATTAGGAATAGGGGGCTCTTATTAGAATATTATTTTGGTGAAAAAAACAGTGTTGAAAGATAAATTTCGTGGTTTATGCTGACAGCCTGAAATGTTTATGTACGACAGATATATTTTTCCAGAATTAAATTCCCCATAATTAAGGGGAGTGTGTATTATACGCGAATAAATAAGTCTTGTGTACATTGATCAATTGGAAGGGGTGCTAATTGGGATTGTTCACTAGCCAATATATTAGCAAATATCGCCATGGGCGCTTATTAGAGCGGGGCGGGACGTCGAATACAGTAATATTACAGCAAACTACGGTTATAACGAACTCAAAGGGACTACTAATTTTAGTACGTTATAACCGTAATTCGTTATAAGCATATATACAGCATAACTACAGCACATAGTCGGGAATAAAAAGTTAGTTCGTTATATCCGTTAGTTCGTTATAAGCGTGTTCGTTATAACCGTAGTTTACTGTGTTCTTATTTCATAACATTATCAATGATAATCAGTAAACAATATTAATTATAATAGTCTGTTCTTACATATTGTGATTGGCAGCCAAACTTCGTGAGCGTGTTAGTGCTGTATTCTAAAAAAGAATATCTTCTACGTAGATAAAAGCATCATCTTTCAGATAAAGTATCATCGACTAGGAAGATAATATATATTAGAATGTGTCACTCACTAATGCGCTTCCAAACGAAACAGTGGGAGGACTAAATATTTCAGATATTTGACACATTATTGTACAGGATGTGTTTCAAAATATTCTTTTTATTCAACCGAAAATTCTTTTTACCAATTTTAATAATTTTTCTCTTTCAGTATATTAAAACATTTCCGCTTTTATCTTGTTCTATGATTGATAAAATGGTTTTGTTAATATTTTGCACACTGGCATTTGAATACAGGAAATGATTCAGACCTCAGATTATAGTTCGGTGCGTTCCAGCTGTGTACATACAGACCCCGGGGGCTTGTATATGAGCTGTTGAAAACAGCCCCCCACCCCCCCACCCCCCCCCCCCCCCCCACCCCACCCTTCAGAATTCAAATGAATACATTTCAGAGAAAAAAAGCAAATCAAATTAATTTTTTTCTTCTTCTATAGGCAATTGAAATTCTATCACCATGATCGGGAGAAAAAGCATTGGGAAACAAGCAGGGATAAGCCTAGTCAGCGCTCTGGAGCCACAGGTACGTGAGAAGTGAGTGAGTGAGTTGGGTTTAACGCCGCTTTTAACAGTTTTCCAGTTATATCACGGCGTGTCAGCTTAATGTGGGAGGAAAGCCCGAAGTGATGCTGGTCTCAGACGTTTACCACTTCGGTGAAACCCACGAGCACGGGTATGGTGCTGACAAACCTAGAAACATAATCGGGGCGAACCGGGATTCGAACCCACAATCATAGGTTTCTGATGTGCCCAAGGGACGCAACTCTGCACAGCGAATCGCGGCGCCTTAGACGACTGGGCCACCCGTGCCCCCGGTACGTGAGAAGAGCTGTATCACATACACATGGGACATATATTGTACTGTCTGGAGCAACAAGTTTCGAGATAAAAAAATGTTGTTAACAGAATAATGTTCGTAGTGTATGGGTTAATCATATGTTTATTTCGGTAATATATATGTTGAAATGAGTAGCTGAAAACGAATTTGATTGCTGAAATGATGACACATTCCTCACTAAAATAACAACCTTTCTTGAAATCTCAATAGATTCGTCTAATAGCAGCGTATGAAACTCCCAAAAGAATCAGCCAGACCACAGGACTGGCTAGCTGAAATACTTGCCAGCCCTGACCAAAACCTGCCTGCCCACCAAATCATATGTTTCTCAGGATAATTTAATTAAAAATATGAAAACTGATTGCTTGTAGCATAAGCGCATCGCTAAATGTTAGGTTGTCTAAAAGCTAACGGGTTTTTTTTTGGTTACATTTTATCATTCATCTTTACATGTGAATTAATGCTTATCATCGAGAAATATTTAGAATATTTTCACCTATGAAATATAACCCGACCGTCGGGCAGGGGGATTTGATAATCTGACAGCCCGAGTTGAAATCAACCCGTCTCGGACGGTCGGGCAGGCAGGTATTTCGAACGCTGCTAATAGTAATAGTTTCTGATTGACAATTAACCATCCATTCCCTGTGTAGAGACATTCGGCAATTATAGATTTGAATTCTTATTCAGGATGCTGTTGAAGTTGCTATAGTAAAAGACGCCGTCGGGAATGTCGTGGTCGAGGAAATCAAGGGTGCTGGCTGTGGAATCAAATCAGCGCCTCAGGATGCCGTTGAAGTTGCCGTTGTGAAAGACATGAGCGGAAGAAAAAGCATTGGGAGGGTAGCTGGGAGGAGTATTGGAAAACGAGCTGGAATGAACCTGGTTAATGCTCTGGAACCACAGGTATGCAATGATAGCTATATGCACGCTCTGGACATCTTCCCGAGCCAAGGGAGTTAACTGACTATAAAAGTCCAGTTTCCACCCTTGTCAAACTAAGTTAGAATTCCTGAGCTCGACCGTAGCGCCACCAGTGGTTCTTGCGAGTTATGTCCCTTATAAGCCTCTCCTATGGACCAATCAGATTCCACCTCTCGTATCACTTGCATTTGTTTTAAACAAAATGGCGGCGCCCAGTCAAGACGATCTGATCGATACTCAAGATCTATATTGTGATAAAACGGGTCTTACATCCAGAAGTGTATCAAACCACGTGTATTGGCGGCCATTCGGTAAAAAAATACAAAGTTGAAAAAAAGGACAAATGTACACAATAAAGGTCATATATTTCGAATGAAGAATTAAATGTTACTAATAAAGGTCAAAATACAAAACAAACAGACGCCGGTTAAACAAATACAAAGTTGTAACGAAGGTCGAAAGTATTAATATTAATAGTCAAATGTTACGAAAAGACGTCATAAGAAAAGAAAGAACAATGTTTTCGAAAAAACGTCAGTGAGCACGAAAGGCCGTTGACAATAAAGAACGCCAGATGGCTTATGGAAATATAAAAAATTATTATTGAACTTTTATGCAGGATGCCGTTGAAGTTGCCGTTGTAAAGGACATCAGTGGAAGAAAAAGCATTGGGAGGGTAGCTGGAAGGAGTATTGGAAAACGTGCTGGAATGAACCTGGTCAATGCTCTTGAACCACAGGTATGTAATAATGGCTTAATCCACACCCTGGATGACAACCAGGTTTCTCTAGAACCACAGGTATGTAATAAATATAATAATAGCTATATACATGCACTGGATGACAACCTGGTTTCTATAGGACTTCAGGTATTTACGAACAGCTATACCACATACACATTTTTAATCTCGTGAAACCCCATTAATCTGGACGGTACTGTTCCTTGTAAAATCGTCTTGTTTAACAAGTGTTTGGATAAATGAGTGCTGGGTACGGAATTGTGTTCGCTGTACGTATAAAGTAATGGCCGTTTCTAACAGCAATATAGTAGAGCTTCTCCAGAACCACAGGTGCGGGAAAGAAGCTATAAAACCCTCTGTATTCTAACTGAGCCACTTGTGCAGGTGGTTACAGATTGTTCAATTTTGCCTGTCATTACTTCAGTTGTGTGCATGCTTCAAGCGGTTTTATTTTTCCCCGTATATCTTGCAATTAGACGGTTCATTAATTGGATAAAACGATCCTCCTCGGTTTTGTTTAAAAAAAATGTAAAACTCTCGCTCAGGGTTTTACGTTTTTTTAAACAAAATATCGGAGAAACTTCAAAGCTCACACTGGGTTGAAATAACTATAATCGTGTACAACAGTCTTACACATTTCCAAAGAAGATCCAGGTAAGCAACCCATACCTGTCGCACGAGGTGACTTACTGGATCAGTGGACCTGGTTTTATGCATGTCACCGTATGCCAAATGCACAGATCAATGTTCTTGTTGTCATGGCATCCTTCCTCTTACTAGATGTATGCAACGTATTTTTTAATTGTCCCATATTAAATCCATCCATGTATTGCCAATGGAAAGACATACAATTATTATTGAACTTTTATGCAGGATGCCGTTGAAGTGACCGTTGTAAAGGATGCAGTAGGAAATGTTGCTGTCGAGGAGATCACTGTTGCTGGCGTAAAAGGATGTGGAATCAAATCAGCGCCACAAGATGCCGTTGAAGTTGCCGTTGTAAAGGACATCGGTGGAAGAAAAAGCATTGGGAGGGTAGCTGGGAGGAGTATTGGAAAACGTGCTGGAATGAACCTGGTCAACGCTCTGGAACCACAGGTATGTACTAATTGCTATATCCACACCATGGACGACAGCCGTGTTTCTCAAGAACCACATAAAGTACAGGTATGTGGTAATAAACTGTATCCATGCACTGAACGGCAACCAGCTTTTTATAGAACCACAGGTATATACTAAACATAGCTATATGTATGCCCTGTACGACAATCGGATTTCTCTAGAAGCACAGGTATGTGATGACAGGTATATCCACGCTCTTAGAAGACAATCAGACTTCTCAAGAACCACAGATTTGAGATAATAAGTATATCCACATTTGGGAAGGACAACCGGGTTTCTCTGGAACCACAGGTATGTAATAATAGCTATATCCACGTTCTGGGTAACAACCTGGTTTCTATAGGACTTCAGGTATTTACGAACAGCTATACCACATACCAATTTACAATCTCGTGAAACCCCATTAATCTGGACGGTACTGTTCCTTGTAAAATCGTCTTGTTTAACAAGTGTTTGGATAAATGAGTGCTAGGTACGGAATTGTGTTCGCTGTACGTATAAAGTAATGGCCGTTTCTAACAGCAATATAGTAGAGCTTCTCCAGAACCACAGGTGCGGGAAAGACGCTATAAAACCCTCTGTATTCTAACTTGTGCAGATGGTGACAGGTTGTTCAATTTTGCCTGTCATGACTTCAGTTGTGTGCATGCTTCAAGCGGTTTTATTTTTTCCGGTATATCTTGCAATACGACGGTTCATTAATTGGATAAAACGATCCTCCTCGGTTTTGTTGAAAAATGTAAAACTCTCGCTCAGGGTTTTCCATTGTTTAAAACAAAATATCGGAGTAACTTCAAAGCTCACACTGGGTTGAAATTACTTTAATCGTTTACAACAGTCTTACACGTTTCCAAAGAAGATCCAGGTAAGCAACCCATACCTGTCGCACGAGGTGACTTACTGCATCAGCGGACCTGGTTTTATGCATGTCACCGTATGCCAAATGCACAGATCAATTTTCTGTTGTCAATGGCATCCTTCCTCTTACTAGATGTATGCGGCGTATATTAATTGTCCCATATTAAATCCATCCATGTTGCCAATGGAAAGACATACAATTATTATTGAACTTTTATGCAGGATGCCGTTGAAGTTACCGTTGTCAAGGATGCAGTAGGAAATGTTGCTGTCGAGGAGATCACTGTTGCTGGCGTAAAAGGATGTGGAATCAAATCAGCGCCACAAGATGCCGTTGAAGTTGCCGTTGTAAAGGACATCGGTGGAAGAAAAAGCATTGGGAGGGTAGCTGGAAGGAGTATTGGAAAACGTGCTGGAATGAACCTGGTCAATGCTCTGGAACCACAGGTATGTACTAATAGCTTTGTCCACACTCTGAACGACAGCCGTGTTTCTCTAGAACCACATAAAGTACAGGTATGTGATAATAAACTGTATCCATGCACTGAACGGCAACCATCTTTTTATAGAACCACAGGTATGTGATAATAGCTATATCCACGTTTAGAACGGCAACCAGGTTTTTATAGAACCACAGGTATATACTATAAATAGCTATATGTATGCCCTGGATGACAATCAGATTTCTCTAGAAGCACAGGTATGTGATGATAGGTATATCCACGCTCTGAGAAGACAATCAGACTTCTCTAGAACCACAGATTTGAGATAATAAATATATCCACATTTGGGAAAGACAATTGGGTTTCTCTGGAACCACAGGTATGTAATAAATATAATAATAGCTATATCCACGTTCTGGATGACAACCTGGTTTCTATAGGACTTCAGGTATTTACTTACAGCTGTACCACATACCAATTTACAATCTCGTGAAACCCCATTAATCTGGACGGTACTGTTCCTTGTAAAACCGTCTTGTTTTAGAAGTGTTTGGATAAATGAGTGCTAGGTACGGAATTGTGTTCGCTGTACGTATAAAGTAATGGCCGTTTCTAACAGCAATATAGTAGAGCTTCTCCAGAACCACAGGTGCGGGAAAGACGCTATAAAACCCTCTGTATTCTAACTTGTGCAGATGGTGACAGGTTGTTCAATTTTGCCTGTCATGACTTCAGTTGTGTGCATGCTTCAAGCGGTTTTATTTTTTCCGGTATATCTTGCAATAAGACGGTTCATAAATTGGATAAAACGATCCTCCTCGGTTTTGTTGAAAAATGTAAAACTCTCGCTCAGGGTTTTCCATTGTTTAAAACAAAATATCGGAGTAACTTCAAAGCTCACACTGGGTTGAAATTACTATAATCGTTTACAACAGTCTTACACGTTTCCAAAGAAGATCCGGGTAAGCAACCCATACCTGTCGCACGAGGTGACTTACTGCATCAGCGGACCTGGTTTTATGCATGTCATCGTATGCCAAATGCACAGATCAATTTTCTGTTGTCAATGGCATCCTTCCTCTTACTAGATGTATGCGGCGTATATTAATTGTCCCATATTAAATCCATCCATGTTGCCAATGGAAAGACATACAATTATTATTGAACTTTTATGCAGGATGCCGTTGAAGTGACCGTTGTAAAGGATGTAGTAGGAAATGTTGCTGTCGAGGAGATCACTGTTGCTGGCGTAAAAGGATGTGGAATCAAATCAGCGCCACAAGATGCCGTTGAAGTTGCCGTTGTAAAGGACATCGGTGGAAGAAAAAGCATTGGGAGGGTAGCTGGAAGGAGTATTGGAAAACGTGCTGGAATGAACCTGGTCAATGCTCTGGAACCACAGGTATGTACTAATAGCTTTGTCCACACTCTGAACGACAGCCGTGTTTCTCTAGAACCACATAAAGTACAGGTATGTGGTAATAAACTGTATCCATGCACTGAACGGCAACTAGCTTCTTATAGAACCACAGGTATGTGATAATAGCTATATCCACGTTTAGAACGGCAACCAGGTTTTTATAGAACCACAGGTATACTATAAATAGCTATATGTATGCCCTGGATGACAATCGGATTTCTCTAGAAGCACAGGTATGTGATGATAGGTATATCCACGCTCTGAGAAGACAATCAGACTTCTCTAGAACCACAGATTTGAGATACTAAATATATCCACATTTGGGAAAGACAATTGGGTTTCTCTGGAACCACAGGTATGTAATAAATATAATAATAGCTATATCCACGTTCTGGATGACAACCTGGTTTCTATAGGACTTCAGGTATTTACTTACAGCTGTACCACATACCAATTTACAATCTCGTGAAACCCCATTAATCTGGACGGTACTGTTCCTTGTAAAATCGTCTTGTTTTACAAGTGTTTGGATAAATGAGTGCTAGGTACGGAATTGTGTTCGATGTACGTATAAAGTAATGACCGTTTCTAACAGCAATATAGTAGAGCTTCTCCAGAACCACAGGTGTGGGAAAGAAGCTATAAAACCCTCTGTTTTCTAACTGAGCCATTTGTGCAGGTGGTGACAGGTTGCTCATCTTTGCATGTCATGACTTCAGTTGTGTGCATGCTTCACGTGGTCTTATTTTTTCCGGTATTTCTTGCATTTGGACGGTTCATAAGTTGGATAAAACGATCCTCCTCGGTTTTGTTGAAAAATGTAAAACTCTCGCTCAGGGTTTCAATTTTTTAAAACAAAATATCGGAATTACTTCAAAGCTCACACTGGGTTGAAATTACTATAATCGTGTACAACAGTCTTACACATTTCCCAAGAAGATCCAGGTAAGCAACCCATACCTGTCGCACGAGGTGACTTACTGCATCAGCGGACCTGGTTTTATGCATGTCATCGTATGCCAAATGCACAGATCAATGTTCTTGTTGTCAATGGCATCCTTCCTCTTACTAGATGTATTTTAATTGTCCCATATTAAATCCATCCATGTATTGCCAATAGAAAGACATACAATTATTATTGAACTTTTATGCAGGATGCCGTTGAAGTTACCGTTTTAAAGGAAGTAGTGGGAAATGTTGCTGTCGAGGAGATCACTGTTGCTGGCGTGAAAGGATGTGGAATCAAATCAGCGCCACAAGATGCCGTTGAAGTTGCCGTTGTAAAGGACATCGGTGGAAGAAAAAGCATTGGGAGGGTAGCTGGAAGGAGTATTGGAAAACGTGCTGGAATGAACCTGGTCAATGCTCTGGAACCACAGGTATGTACTAATAGCTTAATCAACACCATGGGCGAGAGCCGTGTTTCTCTAGAACCACATAAAGTACAGATATGTGATAATAAACTGTATCCATGCACTGAACGGCAACCAGCTTTTTATAGATCCACAGGTATATACTATAAATAGCTATATGTATGCCCTGGACGACAATCGGATTTCTCTAGAAGCACAGGTATGTGATGATAGGTATATCCACGCTCTTAGAAGACAATCAGACTTCTCTAGAACCACAGATTTGAGATAATAAGTATATCCACCTTTGGGAAAGACAATTGGGTTTCTCTGGAACCACAGGTTTGTAATAAATATAATAATAGCTATATCCACGTTCTGGATGACAACCTGGTTTCTATAGGACCACAGGTATTTACTTACAGCTATACCAAATACCAATTTACAATCTCGTGAAACTCCATTAATCTGGACGGTACTGTTCCTTGTAAAATCGTCTTGTTTAACAAGTGTTTGGATAAATGAGTGCTGGGTACGGAATTGTGTTCGCTGTACGTATAAAGTAATGGCCGTTTCTAACAGCAATATAGTAGAGCTTCTCCAGAACCACAGGTGCGGGAAAGAAGCTTTAAAACCCTATATATTCTAACTTGTGCAGATGGTGACAGGTTGTTCAATTTTGCCTGTCATGACTTCAGTTGTGTGCATGCTTCAAGCGGTTTTAATTTCCCCCGTATATCTTGCAATAAGACGGTTTATAAATTGGATAAAACGATCCTCCTCGGTTTTGTTGAAAATGTAAAACTCTTGCTCAGGGTTTTCCATTTTTTAAAACAAAATATCGGAGTGACTTCAAAGCTCACACTGGGTTGAAATTACTATAATCGTTTACAACAGTCTTACACATTTCCAAAGAAGATCCAGGTAAGCAACCCATACCTGTCGCACGAGGTGACTTACTGCATCAGCGGACCTGGTTTTATGCATGTCACCGTATGCCAAATGCACAGATCAATTTTCTGTTGTCAATGGCATCCTTCCTCTTACTAGATGTATGCGGCGTATATTAATTGTCCCATATTAAATCCATCCATGTATTGCCAATGGAAAGACATACAATTATTATTGAACTTTTATGCAGGATGCCGTTGAAGTGACCGTTGTAAAGGATGCAGTAGGAAATGTTGCTGTCGAGGAGATCACTGTTGCTGGCGTAAAAGGATGTGGAATCAAATCAGCGCCACAAGATGCCGTTGAAGTTGCCGTTGTAAAGGACATCGGTGGAAGAAAAAGCATTGGGAGGGTAGCTGGAAGGAGTATTGGAAAACGTGCTGGAATGAGTCTGGTCAATGCTCTGGAACCACAGGTATGTACTAATAGCTTTGTCCACACTCTGAACGACAGCCGTGTTTCTCTAGAACCACATAAAGTACAGGTATGTGATAATAAACTGTATCCATGCACTGAACGGCAACCATCTTTTTATAGAACCACAGGTATGTGATAATAGCTATATCCACGTTTAGAACGGCAACCAGGTTTTTATAGAACCACAGGTATATACTATACATAGCTATATGTATGCCCTGGACGACAATCAGATTTCTCTAGAAGCACAGGTATGTGGTGATAGGTATATCCACGCTCTGAGAAGACAATCAGACTTCTCTAGAACCATATATCTGAGAAATTAAGTATATCGTCATTTTGGAAAGGCAACCGAATTTCTCTGGAACCACAGGTATGTAATAATAGCTATATCCACGTTCTGGATGACAACCTGGTTTCTATAGGACCACAGGTATTTACCTACAGCTGTACCACATACCAATTTAAAATCTCGTGAAACCCCATTAATCTGGACGGTACTGTTCCTTGTAAAATCGTCTTGTTTTACAAGTGTTTGGATAAATGAGTGCTGGGTAAGGAATTGTGTTCGCTGTACGTATAAAGTAATGGCCGTTTCTAACAGCAATATAGTAGAGCTTCTCCAGAACCACAGGTGTTGGAAATAAGCTATAAAACCCTCTGTTTTCTAACTGAGCCATTTGTGCAGGTGGTGACAGGTTGCTCAACTTTGCCTGTCATGACTTCAGTTGTGTGCATGCTTCACGTGGTCTTATTTTTTCCGGTATATCTTGCATTTGGACGGTTCATAAGTTGGAAAAAACGATCCTCCTCGCTTTTGTTGAAAAATGTTAAACTCTTGCTCAGGATTTTCCATTTTTTAAAACAAAATATCGGAGTAACTTCAAAGCGCACACTGGGTTGAAATTACTATAATCGTGTACAACAGTCTTACACATTTCCCAAGAAGATCCAGGTAAGCAACCCATACTTGTCGCACGAGGTGACTACTTTGGTCAGCGGACCTGGTTTTATGCATGTCACCGTATGCCAAATGCACAGATCAATGTTCTTGTTGTCAATGGCATCCTTCCTCTTACTAGATGTATGCGACGTATTTTAATTGTCCCATATTAAATCCATCCATGTATTGCCAATGGAAAGGCATACAATTATTATTGAACTTTTTATGCAGGATGTACGTGTGTGTTTGTGTGTGTGGCTGCTTGTACTAGTCCGGACTGATGCCGATTCATAGTGCTAGCTCACTGAGATACCATGGCGCAGTTTAACATGAATACCCCGCTCAGACACAGTATACTGACTCCGAGCCGACCAGTCCTTGTTTTAGCCCCTTAATGCCGAGCGCCAGAAAGGGTAACAACAAGTACCATTTTTTAACGTCTTTTGGTATGACGCGAACCCCGGACCTTCCGCACTCTGGGCAGACGCTCTACCATTAGACCACGGAGGCGGTCGGTTTTGAATAGAAGCTATATATCACATACAAATTATAAGGTCAACAAAAGTCTGTAATTCCAGACGTTGCTGGGAAGGGAGCTATATCAGCTCTGCATGTTCACGTTTGTAACAGCATACGTCAATATTAACGACGTTTCACCACATATAAGAAAACTTAAAAACATATGTCATGTGATGTCGACTGCCCACATGATTGCAGAACATTTTGTGTCATCAGAATTTGATAGATTGTGGATTGGGTGACGCCTCGATATCGCCATCGCACGTCAAGGCTCACACCGAGTTGTGATAACAATAATCGTTTTCTACATCTCACACATTTCCCAAATCCGACTCAATCCCCCCTTAAGATCCGGGTTAGAATATATCCTCAGTAACCCATGCCTTTCGTACGAGGCGACTAACTGGATCAGGTGATCAGGGTTGCTGATTTGGTTGATGTCAAATGTATACAACGATGCGCTTGTGGTTACTCAATGGACAGTCTTGGCCCAGACTCGATTTCTTACAGACTGCCGTCATAAAGCTGGAATACAGCTAAGTGCGGCGTTAAGCTTTTACACAAGACAACATTTACTGAAGCATTTCTTTCCGTCATTAAGGCAGTTATGTTTCCGTCAGGAAGGCGGTGTTGCTTCTATCAGTAAGACAGTGTTGTTTCCGTCAAAGACATGGTTATATTTCCACTAGTAAGGCAACGCTGTTTCGTCAGTAAGACAGTGTTGTTTCCGTCAGTAACACAGTGTTGTTTCCGTCAAAGACAGTATTATTTCCGTCAGTAAAGCAGCATTGTTTCCGTCAGTAAGACAGTGTTGTTTCCGTCAGTAAGACGGTGTTGTTTCCTTCAGTAAGACATTGTTGTTTTCGTCAGTAAGACAGTGTTGTTTCCGTGAGTAACACAGTGTTGTTTCCGTCAAAGACAGTATTATTTCCGTCAGTTAAGCAGCATTGTTTCCGTCAGTAACACAGTGTTGTTTCCGTCAGTAAGACATTGTTGTATCGTCAGTAAGACATTGTTGTATCGTCAGTAAGACAGTGTTGTTTCCGTCAGTAAGACAGTGTTGTTTCCGTGAGTAAGACAGTGTTGTTTCCGTCAGTAAGACAGTGTTGTTTCCTTCAGTAAGACATTGTTGTTTCCGTCAGTAAGACAGTGTTGTTTCCGTGAGTAACACAGTGTTGTTTCCGCAAGTAAGACATTGTTGTTTCCGTGAGTAAGACAGTGTTGTTTCCGTCAGTAACACAGTGTTGTTTCCGTCAGTTAAGCAGCATTGTTTCCGCCAGTAAGACACTGTTGTTTCCGCCAGTAAGACAGTGTTGTTTCCGTCAGTAAGACATTGTTGTTTCCGTGAGTAAGACATTGTTGTTTCCGTCAGTAAGACATTGTTGTTTCCGCCAGTAAGACAGTGTTGTTTCCGTCAGTTAAGCAGCATTGTTTCCGTGAGTAAGACATTGTTGTTTCCGCCAGTAAGACAGTGTTGTTTCCGTCAGTAAGACATTGTTGTTTCCGTGAGTAAAACATTGTTGTTTCCGTCAGTAAGACATTGTTGTTTCCGTGAGTAAGACATTGTTGTTTCCGTCAGTAAGACATTGTTGTTTCCGTCAGTAAGACAGTTTTGTTTCCTTCAGTAAGACATTGTTGTTTTCGTGAGTAAAACATTGTTGTTTCCGTGAGTAAGACATTGTTGTTTCCGTCAGTAAGGCAGTGTTGTTTCCGTCAGTAAGACATTGTTGTTTCCTTCAGTAAGACATTGTTGTTTTCGTCAGTAAGACAGTGTTGTTTCCGTCAGTAAGACAGTTTTGTTTCCTTCAGTAAGACATTGTTGTTTTCGTCAGTAAGACAGTGTTGTTTTCGTCAGTAAGACAGTGTTGTTTCCGTCAAAGACAGTATTATTTCCGTCAGTTAAGCAGCATTGTTTTCGTCAGTAAGACAGTGTTGTTTCCGTCAGTAAGACAGTGTTGTTTCCGTCAGTAAGGCAGGGACTATATTTAATCATGTCTGATTTCATCGGTACGGCAGCAGTGAGACACACCGGAAGTTGTTACGTAGTGGAAACAAGCCACCTTTCGGGCTATACAAAATGCGTGTTTTTTCAGTCGGTAGTGTGTGTCGAACGTGAGCAGTGGGCGACGTTTTTACCGTTGAAATGAAATTCCTGTCAATAATATCAATGTACGCAACGTATATTAATTGTCCCAAATTAAGTCTAACCATGTATTGCCAATAGAAAGACATAAAAAAATGTATGGAACCTTTATACAGGATGCCGTTGAGGTTACCGTTGTCAAGGATGCAGTGGGAAATGTTGCTGTCGAGGAGATCACTGTTGCTGGCGTGAAAGGATGTGGAATCAAATCAGCGCCACAAGATGCCGTTGAAGTTGCCGTTGTAAAGGACATCGGTGGAAGAAAAAGCATTGGGAGGGTAGCTGGGAAGAGTATTGGAAAACGTGCTGGAATGAACCTGGTCAATGCTCTGGAACCACAGGTATGTACTGACAGCTATATCCACACCCTGGACGACAACCGGGTTTCTCAAGAACCACGGGTATGTGATAATAGGTATATCCACTTTCTGAGAAGATAAGCAGACGTCTCTGGCACAGCAGGTTTGTGACAACCTGTCTGGCAGACAGCCGGGTTTCTTTGGAACCTCAAGTATGTGATACTACGTACACTCTTCAAAAAAAGGAAACGACAGGTAGATTGTTAGTAAATTTATTGTACCTTATAAAGTCGATATATTTAATTTAATATCATATAAGAAATTTTGGAGCTCGATAGTCACATGTAGTCGTTGTTCAAAGGCATTGAAAACTGGTCATTGTCATGTCACATAAGGCCACAAGGTTGCGCTAAACTCAGTATCTCCTGTGACCGCCCCGGGCAGCAATCACGGCTCTGCATCTCCTCGGCACTGACTGGATAAGTGTACGATTTCTGTCCTGCGGTGAGGTCTGACGTTGACGTACACGTAAATCGAGTTGATCCCAGAGGTGTTCGATTGGGTTGAGATCTGGAGATCTCGACGGCCAGGGCAAAACGTTGTTGTTGATATTATGAAGGTAGTCTACCGTGACACTAGCTGTGTGCGGTGGAGTATTGTCTTGTTGAAACAGCTCCCTCTGGCGGTCAATGATTGGAAGAAGGTGAGGTTAAGGAATTTGATTCATGTAGTGTTTTTGCTGTCAAATTTCCCTTAACCACAATCAAGTCATATCTCGTGGTGTAGGATATACCTCCCATACCATGACACCACCGCCACCGAATCTGTCCAATTCACGTACACAATGAAGGGCAAAACGCTCATTTCGACGACGATAAACACATTGTCTTCTATCTCGCCGGTGAAGAAGAAATCCTGATTTATCGCCGAACCACACTCGTCTGCAGTTTCTCAAATTCCAAGGTTGTAAGGAATGGCACCAACGCAATCGTTGCTGTCGATGGATCTGTGTGCAAAACAAGGAATATAACTGGTCTTCTGGGTCGGATTCCAGCCTCGCGAAGATGGTTCCTGACAGTCTGGTCTGATATTCTCCTTAAACCAGGGATGCTTCATGCAGTCTCCGAAGCTGTGGCATTGCGATGACATAGGTGGAACAGTCGAATGTAGGGATCCTGTGCAGGGGTGGTAACTCTTGGTCGGCCGGTTCTTGGGCGGTCTGCACTGGAATTGAACTGTGTGTATCGGTCCCAAAGGCGGCAAATGGTGCTGTGGTGGACGTTGAAGTGGCGTGCAACAGAAGACTGCCATTCCCCTCTTTGGATACATCCTATGGCGATGTTCCGATCGGCATCGCTGAGTCTCGGCATTTTCGGACTTGAAAATTGTTGACAGTTGAATGACAAATTATTGGCTTATGCTTTCCTTTCTATAGCCACTACCACGAGTTATGAATACCATAACTTGCACGCACATTTTGCTTTACTGTTTTCCTCCATGAAATTTTTGAACAAGTGTGAAAACAATGCCGTTTAAGACATTGGAAAACGACAATGGCCGCGTTTTGTCGCACCGTTTGTCGAATATTAGGCTAGCAACATTTTCCAATAAGATATATCCAATTAATATACCAGTTTGTTTGTGTAGTCAGGTTAAATGAACTCTTTTTGAAGAGTGTATGTCCACGCTCTGAGAAGACAACCTGGTTTCAATGGGACCACAAGTATTTAAGTAATAGCAATACCACATACAATTGTGACGGTACTGTCACTTATAACATCGTCCTGATTAACAGTAAGTTTCAGGATTAATTAGTGCTGAATAAGGAGTTGTGTTCGCTATACGTGTAAATACAGGACGTTTTTAACTGCAATATAGAGGAGCTTCTCCAGAACCACAGGTATGGGATAGAAGCTATATATCACACACAAAGTAAAAGGTCAGCAAAAGTCTGTAATTCCGGACGTTGCCTGGAGGGAGCAATATCAGCTCTGCATGTTGTCGTTTGTACCAGCACACGTCAGGAGTATTAACATTTCACCGTATATAATACAATTTAAAAATACGTCCTGTGACATCGACTGCCCAAATGATTGTGGAACATTTGTGTCATCAGAATTCGACAAGTTGATTGGGGTCGATTGGTGTTGTTTCACTCAGTAGGGCAAAGTTGTTTATTTTGTCAGTAAGGCAGAGTATTGTTTCCTTTTTACAGGATGCCATTGAAGTTGCCGTTCAAACGGATGTCGTGGGAAATGTCGCTGTCGAGGAGATCACTGTTGCTGGCGTGAAAGGATGTGGAATCAAATCAGCGCCTCAGGATGCTGTTGAAGTTGTAGTTGTCGAAGATGGCGTCAGGAATGTTGTAGTTGAGGAGATCAAGGGTGCCGGTATCAAATGCTGTGGAATCAAATCAGCGCCACAAGATGCCGTTGAAGTTGCCGTTGTAAAGGACATCGGTGGAAGAAAAAGCATTGGGAGGGTAGCTGGGAGGAGTATTGGAAAACGTGCTGGAATGAACCTGGTCAATGCTCTGGAAACACAGGTATGTACTAACAGCTATATTCACACCCTGGACGACAACTGGGTAAGGCAGGGACTATGTTTAATCATATCTGATTTCATCGGTACAGCAGCAGTTAGAGACACCGGAAGTTGTTACGTAGTGGAAACAAGCCACCTATCAGGCTATACAAAATGCATGTTTTGTCAGTCGGTAGTGTGTGCCGAACGTGAGCAGCGGGCGACGACTTTACCGTTGAAATGAAATTCCTGTCAATAATATCAATGTACGCAACGTATATTAATTGTCCCAAATTAAGTCTAACCATGTATTGCCAATAGAAAGACATAAAAAAATGTATGGAACCTTTATACAGGATGCCGTTGAGGTTACCGTTGTCAAGGATGCAGTGGGAAATGTTGCTGTCGAGGAGATCACTGTTGCTGGCGTGAAAGGATGTGGAATCAAATCAGCGCCACAAGATGCCGTTGAAGTTGCCGTTGTAAAGGACATCGGTGGAAGAAAAAGCATTGGGAGGGTAGCTGGGAAGAGTATTGGAAAACGTGCTGGAATGAACCTGGTCAATGCTCTGGAACCACAGGTATGTACTGACAGCTATATCCACACCCTGGACGACAACCGGGTTTCTCAAGAACCACGGGTATGTGATAATAGGTATATCCACTTTCTGAGAAGATAAGCAGACGTCTCTGGCACAGCAGGTTTGTGACAACCTGTCTGGCAGACAGCCGGGTTTCTCTGGAACCTCAAGTATGTGATACTACGTACACTCTTCAAAAAAAGGAAACGACAGGTAGATTGTTAGTAAATTTATTGTACCTTATAAAGTCGATATATTTAATTTAATATCATATAAGAAATTTTGGAGCTCGATAGTCACATGTAGTCGTTGTTCAAAGGCATTGAAAACTGGTCATTGTCATGTCACATAAGGCCACAAGGTTGCGCTAAACTCAGTATCTCCTGTGACCGCCCCGGGCAGCAATCACGGCTCTGCATCTCCTCGGCACTGACTGGATAAGTGTACGATTTCTGTCCTGCGGTGAGGTCTGACGTTGACGTACACGTAAATCGAGTTGATCCCAGAGGTGTTCGATTGGGTTGAGATCTGGAGATCTCGACGGCCAGGGCAAAACGTTGTTGTTGATATTATGAAGGTAGTCTACCGTGACACTAGCTGTGTGCGGTGGAGTATTGTCCTGTTGAAACAACTCCCTCTGGCGGTCAATGATTGGAAGAAGGTGAGGTTAAGGAATTTGATTCATGTAGTGTTTTTGCTGTCAAATTTCCCTTAACCACAATCAAGTCATATCTCGTGGTGTAGGATATACCTCCCATACCATGACACCACCGCCACCGAATCTGTCCAATTCACGTACACAATGAAGGGCAAAACGCTCATTTCGACGACGATAAACACATTGTCTTCTATCTCGCCGGTGAAGAAGAAATCCTGATTTATCGCCGAACCACACTCGTCTGCAGTTTCTCAAATTCCAAGGTTGTAAGGAATGGCACCAACGCAATCGTTGCTGTCGATGGATCTGTGTGCAAAACAAGGAATATAACTGGTCTTCTGGGTCGGATTCCAGCCTCGCGAAGATGGTTCCTGACAGTCTGGTCTGATATTCTCCTTAAACCAGGGATGCTTCATGCAGTCTCCGAAGCTGTGGCATTGCGATGACATAGGTGGAACAGTCGAATGTAGGGATCCTGTGCAGGGGTGGTAACTCTTGGTCGGCCGGTTCTTGGGCGGTCTGCACTGGAATTGAACTGTGTGTATCGGTCCCAAAGGCGGCAAATGGTGCTGTGGTGGACGTTGAAGTGGCGTGCAACAGAAGACTGCCATTCCCCTCTTTGGATACATCCTATGGCGATGTTCCGATCGGCATCGCTGAGTCTCGGCATTTTCGGACTTGAAAATTGTTGACAGTTGAATGACAAATTATTGGCTTATGCTTTCCTTTCTATAGCCACTACCACGAGTTATGAATACCATAACTTGCACGCACATTTTGCTTTACTGTTTTCCTCCATGAAATTTTTGAACAAGTGTGAAAACAATGCCGTTTAAGACATTGGAAATCGACAATGGCCGCGTTTTGTCGCACCGTTTGTCGAATATTAGGCTAGCAACATTTTCCAATAAGATATATCCAATTAATATACCAGTTTGTTTGTGTAGTCAGGTTAAATGAACTCTTTTTGAAGAGTGTATGTCCACGCTCTGAGAAGACAACCTGGTTTCAATGGGACCACAAGTATTTAAGTAATAGCAATACCACATACAATTGTGACGGTACTGTCACTTATAACATCGTCCTGATTAACAGTAAGTTTCAGGATTAATTAGTGCTGAATAAGGAGTTGTGTTCGCTATACGTGTAAATACAGGACGTTTTTAACTGCAATATAGAGGAGCTTCTCCAGAACCACAGGTATGGGATAGAAGCTATATATCACACACAAAGTAAAAGGTCAGCAAAAGTCTGTAATTCCGGACGTTGCCTGGAGGGAGCAATATCAGCTCTGCATGTTGTCGTTTGTACCAGCACACGTCAGGAGTATTAACATTTCACCGTATATAATACAATTTAAAAATACGTCCTGTGACATCGACTGCCCAAATGATTGTGGAACATTTGTGTCATCAGAATTCGACAAGTTGATTGGGGTCGATTGGTGTTGTTTCACTCAGTAGGGCAAAGTTGTTTATTTTGTCAGTAAGGCAGAGTATTGTTTCCTTTTTACAGGATGCCATTGAAGTTGCCGTTCAAACGGATGTCGTGGGAAATGTCGCTGTCGAGGAGATCACTGTTGCTGGCGTGAAAGGATGTGGAATCAAATCAGCGCCTCAGGATGCTGTTGAAGTTGTAGTTGTCGAAGATGGCGTCAGGAATGTTGTAGTTGAGGAGATCAAGGGTGCCGGTATCAAATGCTGTGGAATCAAATCAGCGCCACAAGATGCCGTTGAAGTTGCCGTTGTAAAGGACATCGGTGGAAGAAAAAGCATTGGGAGGGTAGCTGGGAGGAGTATTGGAAAACGTGCTGGAATGAACCTGGTCAATGCTCTGGAAACACAGGTATGTACTAACAGCTATATTCACACCCTGGACGACAACTGGGTAAGGCAGGGACTATGTTTAATCATATCTGATTTCATCGGTACAGCAGCAGTTAGAGACACCGGAAGTTGTTACGTAGTGGAAACAAGCCACCTATCAGGCTATACAAAATGCATGTTTTGTCAGTCGGTAGTGTGTGCCGAACGTGAGCAGCGGGCGACGACTTTACCGTTGAAATGAAATTCCTGTCAATAATATCAATGTACGCAACGTATATTAATTGTCCCAAATTAAGTCTAACCATGTATTGCCAATGGAAAGACATAAAAAAATGTATGGAACCTTTATACAGGATGCCGTTGAGGTTACCGTTATAAAGGATGAAGTGGAAAATGTTGCTGTCGAGGAGATCACTGTTGCTGGCGTGAAAGGATGTGGAATCAAATCAGCGCCACAAGATGCCGTTGAAGTTGCCGTTGTAAAGGACATTGGTGGAAGAAAAAGCATTGGGAGGGTAGCTGGGAGGAGTATTGGAAAACGTGCTGGAATGAACCTGGTCAATGCTCTGGAACCACAGGTACATCTTTTTCACACGCACATTGGGCATACTGTACAGCAAGTCTTATTAGATTCTGTATAGAGAAATAATGGAAAATGTACATTTGTACATTACCTGTAGATATGTAGACTATAGAAAAAATCACAAAAACAGAGTTTCCACAATTAAAAAGGTTTCATGGTGTTGCACAATAGTTAAGAAGCTAAGTTTACCACATTGGTCGCACAACATGTTGTTGTATAAAAAGTAAGCCCTTTAGGCTTCGAAACTTCAAGCGCCATAATGAATTGAAATTGTGGTACATTTTACATCTCTTGCATCCAGAAGATCTAGAAAACATGGAAGTTTAATCGTAATTTAGGAATCAGATTTCAAATCATGACAAACGTGTAAAGATTGACATGTTTCTTCCAATTATGCAGTGATAAATAATTTTATCGTGTGTCATACCTGCTTCAATAAGTACGATAAAGTTGGCATCCCACTTGCACATTTAACACTAAGAATGAGCCAAAGTATCAGGTGGTTGAAACAAACAATTTCCTGATTAAATATCCAACTTTCTTAATTTCTTTTGATAGATGTATGCATTTCATATTAATTATCCCAGATTGAAAATTAACCATACGTTTCCTGTTGGGGGGCATTAGCTATTATAGACTTATAAAGTTGAACTTTTATTCAGGATGCTGTCGAAGTTGCTATTATAAAGGATGCCGTGGGGAATGTCGTTGTTGAGGAGATCAAGGGCGCTGGCTGTGGAATCAAATCAGCGCCTCAGGATGCCGTTGAAGTTGCCGTTGTGAAGGACATCAGCGGAAGAAAAAGTGTTGGGAGGGTAGCTGGGAGGAGTATTGGAAAACGTGCTGGAATGAACCTGGTCAATGCTCTGGAACCACAGGTATGCCACATCCGCGTCCTGGTTGACAACCGGGATTCTCCAGAATCACATGTATGTGATAATAGCTATATCCACTCTCTGAACGACATCAGGATTTCTCTAGAACCAAATGCATGTAATGATAAAACAGGCTTGGAGTGAGTGAGTGAGTATGGTTTTACGCCGCTTTTAGCAATATTCCAGCAATATCACGGCGGGGGAAACCAGAAATGGGCTTCACACATTGTAATCATGTCGGGAATCGAACCCGGGTCTCGGCGCGACGAGCGAACGCTTTAACCACTAGGCTACCCGACCGCCCAAACAGGCTTGGAAGAATCTAGTCAATGCTGTGGAAGACAACCGAGTTTATCTATAACCACAGGTATGTAATAATAGCTATATCCACGCTCTGGATGACAACCTGGCTTCAATAGGACCACAGGTATTTGCTCACAGCTATACCACATAAAAAAAATAATCTCGTGAAACCTCGTTAATCTGGACGGTACTGTTCCTTGTAAAAATCGTCCTGTTTAAGAAGTTTCAGGATTAATGATCGTTGGGTAAGGAATGGTGTTCGCTGTACGTATAAATTAATGGCTATTTCGAATAGCAGAATAGTAGAGCTTCTCCAGAACCAAAGGTGTGGGAAAGAAGCTGTAAAACCCTATGTTTTCTAACTGAGCCACCGGGGCAGGTGATGACAGGTTGTTCAATTTTGCATGTCATGACTTCAGTTGTATGCATACTTCACGTTGTCTTATTTTTGCCAGTATTTCTTGCATTGAGACGGTTCATAACTTGGATAAAACGATCTTCCTCGGTTTTGTTGAAAATGTAAAACTCTCGCTCAGGGTTTAACATTTTTTTCAAACAAAATCTCAGAGTAACTTTAAGGCTCACACTTGGGTTGAAATTACTATAATCGTTTACTACATCTTACACATTTCCTAAGAAGATCCGGGTCACGAACCCACAACTGTCGCACGAGGTGACTTACTGGATCAGCTGACCTGGTTTTATGCAACGTGTCACCGTATGCCAAATGCAGAGATCGATGCTCTTGTTGTCCAAGGCATCCTTTCTCTTACTCGATGTACGCAACGTATATTAATGATCCCATATTAAATCCATCCATGTATTGCCAATGGAAAGACATAAAAAAAATTATTGAACATTTATACAGGATGCCGTTGAAGTTACCGTTGTCAAGGATGTAGTGGGAAATGTCGCTGTCGAGGAGATCACTGTTGCTGGCGTAAAAGGATGTGGAATCAAATCAGCGCCACAAGATGCCGTTGAAGTTGCCGTTGTAAAGGACATCGGTGGAAGAAAAAGCATTGGGAGGGTAGCTGGGAGGAGTATTGGAAAACGTGCTGGAATGAACCTGGTCAATGCTCTGGAACCACAGGTATGTACCAATAGCTATATCCATTCTCTGGATGACAACCTGGTTTCAATAGGACCACAGGTATTTACCTACAGCTATACCAAACATACCAATTTAAAATCTCGTGAAACCCCGTTAATCTGGACGGTACTGTTATGTAATGATAGCTGTATCCACGCCCTGGACGACAACCGAATTTCTCTAGAACCCCATGTGGTAATGGTAAAACAAGTTGGGACAAACCTAATTTACGCACTGGAAAACAAAGGATTTCTCTGGAACCGCATACATGTAATAATAGGTATATCCAGAATCTGGAAGACAACTGGGTTTCTCTAATGATAGCTATGTAATGATATCTATTTCCATGCTGTGAAAGACAACCGGACTTATCCGGAACCAAAGGTATGTGATAATAAGTATGTCCACGCCCTGGAGGACAACCGAATTTCTCGGTGGTAATGTGGTAATGGTAAAACAAGTTGGGAAGAACCTAATTTAGGCACTGGAAAACAAAGGATTTCTCTAGAACCGCATGCATGTAATAATCCGGAAGACAACTGGGTTTCTCTAATGTTAGCTATGTACTGATATCTATTTCCATGCTGTGAAAGACAACCGGACTTATCTGGAACCAAAGGTATGGTACAATAACTACACACACAAGAATCACCCTGATTAACAAATGTCTGGATTAACGATGCTGGATAGGGAATATTGTTATTAGTAGACGTATGTATATACATGTTCCTACCAGTAATCGTCCAAAGGCCGAGTGTGCGGACTAACAGGGTTAAGAATAATGCGATGTTACTGTGTCAGACAACCATTCATCCTAAACCATAGACTATAGGGCTTGCTTCATTGACACCAGAGCACTTGGTAAATATGACAACTTCAGGATACCCTCTGAATTGAAACAACTTTTATCTTTCTATGTTTAGAACAACTTATTTAGATTTAGGGTATTGAGTAATAAATCATGCTGCCTTCATACTTGTCAATCACATTATCACAAAGATAAAATGATGGTTTTGTTTCCGCGAGTTACGATGATGGAGGAGATGGCGGATGCTGGTAATTGTTGAAAAGACATCAAATTCACTAATATAATTAACCCAGATTGAATTTAATCCTGCATACTAATGGAAGACATATTGTGCAGAGCTCCAGATAAGCTGCGTATCTGCGTGAAATACGCATCAGAAATTCAGAAATACGCAGTAAAAAATAATCCAAGCGTATCAAATACGCAACGAACATTACAGATACGCTACAAAAATCAAACTTGTGCGTATCATCAAAATATTGTGAAGTAACCCTGCGTATTCGATTAGCAAATCAGCAACTTATTTTGAAATCATAAACGGGCATTCCGTCAACCTTGCCAAACTCCACGATGACAGTCACATCATGATCATTTGCCATCACACTTTCTTGTGGAAGTATCGTGGTATTTTTGAGTCCTATAAAGCTCTCGAACCCACACGACACCAGTTTGCAGGGACTAGATGAATAGTGTTTTTAAATATTTAACTTCAATACCCAGATGTGTAAAAACTAGTGGGTAACAGAAATTTGAATACGCAGATAGAATTACTGATACCCAATGATTTTAAAATGCATGCGTAAAATACCCACAACACCAAAAGCTTATCTGGAGCTCTGTTGTGTTCAGGACGCCGTTGAAGTCGCTGTTGTAGAAGTCACCACGGGCAATGTCATTGTTGAGGAGATCAAAGCTTCTTGCGTGAAAGGAGGCGGAATCATATCAGCGCCTCAGGATGCTGTTGAAGTTGTCGCTGTCAATGCTGTTGGAGATGTGGTTGTCAAGGAGTGTACATCGGTAGCACCACAGGGTGTTGGGATTGTGAAGACGGTTGAGGTGCCTCAGGTTGGTATACTGAATATTAAGACAGCCCTTCACGGCCGGGTACACACAGTATGTCTCTTCTTGTCAAATAACAAAGTGACCTGGCAAAGTTGAATGTTCCTGATAGAGTTGATTTTTAACTCCCGGCTGCGCTAATGTGACCTGACAAAGTTGAATGTTCCTGATAGAGTTGATATTTAACTCCCGGCTGCGCTAATGTGACCTGACAAAGTTGAATGTTCCTGATAGAGTTGAATTTTAACTCCCGGCTGCGCTAATGTGACCTGACAAAGTTGAATGTTCCTGATAGAGTTGATATTTAACTCCCGGCTGCGCTAATGTGACCTGACAAAGTTGAATGTTCCTGATAGAGTTGATTTTTAACTCCCGGCTGCGCTAATGTGACCTGACAAAGTTGAATGTTCCTGATAGAGTTGATATTTAACTCCCGGCTGCGCTAATGTGACCTGACAAAGTTGAATGTTCCTGATAGAGTTGATTTTTAACTCCCGGCTGCGCTAATGTGACCTGACAAAGTTGAATGTTCCTGATAGAGTTGATATTTAACTCCCGGCTGCGCTAATGTGACCTGACAAAGATGAATGTTCCTGATAGAGTTGATATTTAACTCCCGGCTGCGCTAATGTGACCTGACAAAGTTGAATGTTCCTGATAGAGTTGATTTTTAACTCCCGGCTGCGCTAATGTGACCTGACAAAGTTGAATGTTTCTGATAGAGTTGATATTTAACTCCCGGCTGCGCTAATGTGACCTGACAAAGTTGAATGTTCCTGATAGAGTTGATATTTAACTCCCGGCTGCGCTAATGTGACCTGACAAAGATGAATGTTCCTGATAGAGTTGATATTTAACTCCCGGCTGCGCTAATGTGACCTGACAAAGTTGAATGTTCCTGATAGAGTGATTTTTAACTCCCGGCTGCGCTAATGTGACCTGACAAAGTTGAATGTTCCTGATAGAGTTGATTTTTAACTCCCGGCTGCGCTAATGTGACCTGACAAAGTTGAATGTTCCTGATAGAGTTGATTTTTAACTCCCGGCTGCGCTAATGTGACCTGACAAAGTTGAATGTTCCTGATAGAGTTGATTTTTAACGGCTGCGCTAATGTCTCGAATTTAGGAACATGAACAGTTCTCATGTGCGTGGTGTCATAATATATACAACTTTAAAAAAAATATTTTCAGGGCATTGGACACGCAGCTGACCAAAGTGGTCCACCCGTGGTATACACACTGGAATGATGGACGAACTGACACCCCGGGGGGACTGCCCCAACGCACGGGGAATCGATCTATATCTCCACGCTGTTACGATAACCTCCACCAAAATTATGCATAGCTTGTTTGACGTCAGATCGTTTATAAGTTTTTATTCATACAGGTAGCCGAGTGCCCACGCCAGTCAAGAACAACACTGTACGTTTTATGTTTGTGTGATTGTATGACCTATTTGTTGGTCAATAGAAGCCGTTATCAGCCGGCATTTTCTGGCAGTTAAGGGGAACAACATGGACACTGCAAAACTACTCTGATATATAAGTACAATTCATGCTTCTAAATTTTATTTTGAAGGAACTGTAATTATGATTCACGCTATATCGCAATAAACTCACAGATCACGGTGTTGGTTTTAGTACTGTGTAATGAATTTAGCAGCGGTTAAACCTAAGTTTTTCTCTTATGGTTAAGGGGCTTGCTGAGCCATTTAATATCCAAAACCGACTTCCACAGGAGATGTCACTTGCAAAAGATCGATATAGTTCAGAGGAGATATACCCCTTCTGAACATGCATGGTGGATTGACAAAAGCATAAGCTTGAGGTTTAAAAGGTATTCTATTTTACACGACCTTTAACTTGATTCATTTCTGCATAACAGTCAAGTCATCGGACTATGGTTAGACTTAACGATGGACTGTTTTTAAAAAAATAATATGTTTGAATACAAGGGTGAAAAGTAGGCGATTTACATGTAGCTCACTCTGTATTCAGAACAGCTTTCTCTTCAATGGAATCCCTTTTTCGGTTGATTAAACATAATTGTATCACAACTTTCTCAGCGGATTAAACATAATTGTATCACAACTTTCTCAGCGGATTAAACATAATTGTATCACAGCATCTCTCCGTGATCTTTTAACCCTGATGAAGACATACGTTTTAGAGTATTCTTGGACGACCGTATATCTAAGTATTACTTTTACATCAACAACTACAGCTACTGCGACTACGGCAGACGCCAGCGCTTCTACTTACATCACTTCTAATGGTGTATATTTACCAAACACCGCAGGTCAACCCAGAGACAGTTCAATAACTACGACTACAACTACGGCTGCTACTACTACTACTGCTACAACAACTACTGCTGCTGCTACTGTATTCCTTCTACAACTGCTATGATCCGGGATAGAATAGGTCTTCAGAAACCTATGCTTGTCAAAGGTGGCTATGCTTGTTGTAAGAGGCGACTAACGGGATCGGGTGGTCAGTCTCGCTGACTTGGTTGATGCTTGTCATCGTATCCAAATTGTGATGATCGATGCTCATGTTATCAATCACTGGACTGTCTGGTCCAAACTCGATTATTTACAGACTGTCGTCATATAGCTGGAATATTGTTGAGTGCGGCGTTGGTGAGGTGAGGTGAAATTGGGTTTAACATCGCGTCCATGATTATTGCACTTAAATAGCGACGCGCGCGCGTGCGTGCGTGCGTGCGTGCGTGCGTGCGTGCGTGCGTGCGTGTGTGCGTGTGTGTGTGTGTGTGTTCCGGACTGATGCCAATTTATCGTGCTAGCTCACTGAGGTACCATGCCGCAGTTTAACATGAACACACCACTCAGACACAGTATGCCGACTCCGAGCCGACCAGTCCTTGTTTGAGCCCCTTAATGCCGAGCGCCAGACAGGGTATCAACAAGTACCTCTAAACCACGGAGGCGGTGCGGCGTTAAACAACAAACATACAAACAAACAAACAAACAAACAAACAAACAAACAAACAAACAAACAAACTACAACTGCTGATACTACAGCTACTACTACTGCTACTTCTACTACAACTACCACTACTGCAGCTTCTACTACTACTGCTTCTACTACTACTGCTACTGCTGCTACTAGTACAACTACTACTGCTACTACTACTACTACTACTACTACTACTACTACTATTCCTACTACTATTCCTACTATAACTGTTACAACTATAACTACTACGACTTGTACTATTCCTACTACTACTGCTGCTACTACAACTACTACTACTGCTACTACTACTACTACAACTGCTGCTACTACTACAACTACTACTACTACTGCTATTACTGCTGCTACTACTACAACTTCTACTACAACTGCTACTGTTACTACAACTTCTACTTCTGTTGCTACCACTACTGCTACTATACCCACTACTACTACTACTACTACTATTCCCACTATAACTGTTACAACTATAACTACTACGACTTGTACTATTCCTACTACTACTGCTATTATTATTACTGATACTACTACTACTACTACTACTACTTCTACTAACTTTTCCATTTTTCTTCTGAGACCACTTCACCTCCAATCAATTAAGGAGTGTAATAGTCTTGGGTTCCACAGTGATGACACCAGGGTAAAGTACTAAATCAGTCACCGGCAGGGAAAGGTAATCGTGTGATCAAGCTGGGACACGAGCGGGTGTTCGAAGCCAAAACCTCAAATGGAGATTACCACCATGGATGAGACCCGTGAAGACCCGGGGTAGAATAGGTCTTCAGCAACCCATGCTTGCCGTAAAAGGTGACTATGCTTGTCGTAAAAGGCGACTAACGGGATCGGGTGGTCAGGCTCGCTGACTTGGTTGATGCATGTCATTGATCCCAATTGCGTGGATCGATGCTCCTGATATCACTGGATTGTCTGGTCCATACTCGATTATTAACAGACCGCCGTCATATAGCTGGAATATTGCTGAGTGCGGCGTTACACAACAAACCAACAAACAAACAAATCATATGTAGAATAGACGTATTTAGAAAGGAGAGTTTCCCAGCAAAGCCGCAGTTTGTAAGTCAGTTCTGTTAATTTAACACAGAAGTAAAATACAAATATCGCTAGACTTGACACCTCTCTATCCGGACAACCCGTTGGTCTGGACATCACTCTATCTGGACGTATATTGTCGGAAAAGGTTTTTTATAATTAAATCACATTTCCCTTAATGTCGAACAAAATTACAGCAGCCCAAGCTTTTGGTGTCTACATTTAACACATTTTAAGCTATAATTGTAAATGTTCATTCTGGGACCAAAATATTGCGAGCAGCCTCCTACGAAATGGGATTTAAAATCACTTTAACATGACTTTAAAATCATTATGGATGCTGTCGAAGCATATGCCAAACAATGAGTCATTGGTAGAATGCACAACCTGGACAAGAGGAATCAGAATTGGAGTAAACCCAACAGTTTGAAAAAACAACTTGGTATGAATGATATATCACATAATGCCACGTGGAAGGCCAGTATGTTACCTAAGGAAGAACTCTGCCCAAACCAAGCATCAGTTTCATCAACCTGTGGCTTGACATGTACATTTCTCCTTTGTACTAGATTCCAAAGCTCCATAAACATTCTTACAAAAAGAGATATGTTGCTGGGTTCAACAAATATACCACCAAATCCCTGTCTCAAAGATTAACACTACTACAATCAAGAAACGGTTTTCTATATATTCACAGAAAGTAGTTGACACAAGTCAAATTAATTCCATGTAGATTCTCAAAGACTCAAAGGGTATGCTTGAATTTTTAAAACCTCAGAAAAGAACAATGTTAAAGTCTGTCACAACTATCCCACATGACGCACTTAAGGAAAAACTTCATTCCTTGATCCAATGGGGCTTTTGTTAAAAAACATGGTGACTGTCGTCCGCGAGGCCCTTCATCTGCTATGTGTATTGCGCAGACCCCCTTGTAACAACAAGCGTTAAAACACCAACAATTACATGAGAGTTTGGTAAACAACCTTTTCTAGTTGGTATGAACAAATAAATAACTCTAAAGCCATTTCAGACGAATTGTTACTTCGGGTATATATGTATTTTGCATTTCATCTGTACGATTTTGCAGCAAACGAACTATACATATCTATCTTCAGAGGTTTAAGTAATTTTGTCAAGAAATAAAGCAAATTCAACCTGAAGATTACTGAGAAAACAATATTTGAAATGCTGGACTTCCTCATTGACAACATCTATGTAATTATTTGGGGTGAGACATTTAGGCATTAGACATCCCCATGGTTACCGATTGTGCCCCCCTTGCTTGCTCATCCGTTTCTTTGTGCATATGAATCGGACTTTCTGCTCGGATTGACAAAGTCAAAACAAGGTAATTAGGGCAAGAAGTTTAACTTGTAAATCGATAGCCATTAAATAGTACATTTCACCTTAAATACGTTTTTGCAAGTCATGGCTTCCAAGAACGCAGCCCCCTAACCCCTGGAGAAAAAGGGGAGACAACTAAAATTCGACTGCCAACATGGTGGGAGGGTCAAGGCCGACCCGCATGGCGAGTTTCAAGTCGTTATGACAATTTTAAAATTTCACCTTGAATACGTTTTTTGCAAGTCATGGCGGCCAAGAAAGGAGCCCCTTAACGGCTGGAGAAAAAGGTTAAACATCTAAAGTTACCAAAGAGGCTTCGGACAACAGAGAGCAATGATGGATGAAATATCAAGGGATCTTAATGATTTGACTCCTGTGGGAGAGAAAGTAAGCCTAGGCTGTACAAGATGGTGCAGGAAAATGGTGTCTTTGTTTCTGTGGATGGGGAAATGGTGATGGCAGGATATACCCCTCTTTCGGCTAACCTGGTACCATCATTGAGAGTGAAACATAAACACATGCTTATGATATAGTCAGAATCATACACTATCTTATAATTAAGGAAAGTGTCTTGTTGCTTTTATTTATACCAAAGTACTGGAACATTCAATACCAACAGGTTATGCAGCACTTGATGGCTGAAATGTGTCCCTGAAATGGGAACAATTTGCTCACTCCTTTAGAAAATATGATTGTATTACCAGTATATATACTCAAAAACAAAAGTTCCTCTGACACCAATATTTTAGTGTATTTTTCAATCAAGTAAAGTTTGGTTTTCAATATTGTAGTACATGTATGGAATCAAGTCACAAAAACGCAACTGCTATAGAAAAGCATGCATTCCATGCAAAAGTTGACTTTTATGCATTTCACTACCCAAGAATAAAAACATGTGCGTTAACGGGATTCCATATGCATTGGTGAGCATCGTGCTGACAACCATAACGAAATGCCACGCCTGTCCGAAAATGAGCGTCTGCGAGCCATTGGTATGCTTGAAGCAGGATCGAGGTAACGTGATGTTGCAAGACAATTTAACGTCCACAGAAACACCATTTGGTTTTTATGGCAACGTTGGCAACAGACGAATGCAGTCAGAGACCATCCTCGGAGTGGCAGGCCACGGGTAAACAATAATCGACAAGACAACTGGATTCGAACAACACACCTGCGAAATCGATTCCAGCCAGCAACAGTGCCTGCAAGAAGCATCCCTGGCTTTCGACGAATATCTACACACACCGTA